CAGCCGGAGGCAGGAGGGTGTGAGCAGCACAAGATGAGATCACCTGCCAACAGCAGTAGGGAAACTTCATCCTCCTTTGCTGTGAACCTGGAGCAGACTTTCAGACGCGAACTGCATGATCCTGGAAAGAGTCTCTGGCTTGGGAAATCCTTAGTTTTCCTCCTCCTATTTTTTTCCCCCTCTCCTCCCAGTGTTGTCTAGACTAAGGAGCAGTGTTTATCTCCTGTGAATAGCACTGAGTGTTACTGTAGGGCATGGAAACCTCCAGCCACCCTCCCATCATGGCAGCAGCCCATCCAGGCTGTAAAATCCCTGCATGAGCCTGCACCCCATGTTCTTTCCCTTGATGAACAGGCACTATTGCTCTGGCTATCTACAGACTGCCCAGGGCTTGGCAGTGTCTGAGAGCTCTGGTCAGTGGCCCTGCTGTGCCAGGCACTGTGTGGGGTGGCATTGCTGGGTGACTGGATTTGCTGGAGAGCAGAGCAGGGTTGCAGCCCTTTGCCTCCTCCACTGGCACCTGGCTGCACAGGGGGAAGGTGGTGCTGCTGTGCAGGCACCATCTCCAGCCTGCAAACAGGAAGGGCCAGAGTATCTCCCTTGGCTGCTGTGTCCTTGGACATGGGGCTGAGCCTGTCCAGTAGCATGACCCAGCCTGCTTTCACTCTTACTTTTCTTCTACACTGAGAAGAACACAAAGCAAGCAAAGACCAGCGAAAACAGTGGAAAACCCAAAATATACTAAATTCCCAGCTTCTAGATCATCTCTGCTATCTCTAGACCATCTCTGTTCAGCCTGCTCATTTGTGTCTTTTTTTCTCACTCTCCCTGTATTTCCTTTTTTAATTTTTCCACAAACTGAGGTGTTCATGCCAACCATAAAGAAACCTAGACTTAAAAAAACACATTGACCTAGATTTTCATATCCCTGTCAGCCATGGAGAAGTCCAGATATTCACAGATTAGCACCCAGCACATGCCTTTTCCACTATCCCATCTGGTAACACCAGCCCCTGTGGCACATGCTGAGTCCTGCAAATGCCAACTTGAAAGGCTTATTCATGTACTATAATTTTCCTCTCTGGGGATGTCAACAGAAAGTAGTCAGAAATAACAATGTTTCTCCCTCCATCAGCCAGGTCTAACAGAGGACAAAGGAAATGCTCTTCCATACTCCATTGCAGAGTGTCTAAGCTATAAAATGGGGCCAAATGGCCTCCCCCTGAGCACAAATAACAACAGGAGAAAGATCCATATGCAATCAAGTGTAGGATAAATGTGCTTAGCTGATCATTCCTTTCCTTAATATTTTTTTTTATGAATAGGCTTAACTTATGGTAAGATGGGACTTTATGGTCCTGTAAGTCTTGCTAGTGTCAAAACAAATGAACTAGCCATCCTGTGGGGGAACTATCAATCCAATATATGTGTGTGCATGGGTGTGGGGAGTCAGACCTATTATACCTTTAAGAGCAAATTAGATGCTGTTCCTATGATTCATAATGCTATATATCTAATGGCATGACTCGTCATCTAGAAAATAAACGTTTTGAGCCAGTTTCTCATCTCATAAATTTCCCCTCTGGCACTGAAGGACATACACTAAATGGGCTGACTCACAGGGAAACAATACAATTTGGATACTTTTAAATGAAAGATAAAATTGCTTTAGGGTACAGAGGGGCACTGAGATCCCAGGGAGGGGTTGGCAAGTGTAGGGCAGCACCTCGGGGGCCACTCTGCCCTCCCTGGCAGGCCTGGCTGTTCCTGGGAAGTCTTGCAGAGCCTGTTGGGTTCTCCCAGCTCAGTAGCTTGGCAGCTTGGCATGACCACCATGGTGAAGCACCTGATGTGGAGGTGGTTGTGTTGGAGATGGTCTTCCTGTTGCACATGCTGGCAGGGAGGAGAGTGTTTATTGCACATTTCCAAGCACAGCAGCAGGGAAGGACAGGAGGGGTGGAGGTGCCCCCTCCAAGGCAGCAGGGAAAGGTTGTCCTCAGCCACCACGGACCAGGGAGGCTCCTGTGCTTTCCTACCTCTGGCTGTCCCATGGGACACCTCAGCACCTTCACTGCATCCTTTGTCCATTGCTCCTGGTTTTCCTGTGCTGTTGGACTCCTGGTTTGGATGGCAGCTGCTGTTCCTCTGGGTTTGTGTGAGCAGTCCTGTGCCTCCTGGGCTATTCTGTCAGCAGGAGAAGGGGAAGGAGAGGCTTTCATGTGGTTGGCAGCTATGGAGGAGCATGTGCCTGCAGCCTGCCTTTGGGGCTGAGCTGGTTAAATCTATCACTTTGGCAAGGGAAGGAAACTTTGACCACCAATCTCTGCCAGGGCTTGAGATCAGCCTCTGCCACTGCAGCCAGAGCCTGCAGCAGGCTGGGGGAGGTGGGGAAAGGATGGGTGGGCTGAGTGTGAACTACAGCAGAAGCCGCATCTGGCTTCAGGGCTGGGAGGACTACAGAGTCCTGGAGTTTGTTCTGGAGTTCCTGTGGAGGAATTGCATGTCCTCAGGGACCAGGCTGGTGTCCCATGGAGGGTGCAGAGCTTCCAAAAGTGATGGAGAACATCTTCATGCAGGGAGTTTCATCTTTCTGCACAATCTTACCCACTTCCCCCCATCAGTTCACTCTTGCTGCTTCCCCACCCTGTGACACACACTCCCCTGCACCTATGGGAAAATCCTGGAGCCCACTGGCTTGGAATCCTGCTGGAAAGTGAGTGGAGGCAATTCCTGGCCAGCTAGCCCTGCCCTCAGCTGGCTGCTGGCCATGGCAGGGAGGCAGCGCCAGGACCAGGGGTTAGTCCTGCTCCCAGTAACCTGGTTAGTGTGCGTAGGTGTGCTTGCTTTAATGAGGGCAATTGAAGGGCACATTGATTAGCTAACCTCGTTTGGGTGAAGGTTGACACAAGGCAGATGACAGCCAGGTACCTGCAGGATCTAATTAAAACATGTGCAAGGCTGAGCAGGCAGAGCAGAGGGGATTGCTCATCCAGCATTGCACTTGCCATTGGAAGAAAATAGAAAGGAAAAATTGACTATTGGATTTGACTAAAGGGCATGGATAGGACAGGTGGGATCTCTTCCCTAGTTTGGGGATGTGCAGGAAAGAGCCAATTAATGGCCATGATCAGGGCTGGAGATGGGGTGACAGTGGAGTGGTTCTGTCAGTGTGATGGTGCAGCTCTCCCAGAGATCACCCAGTGTCTGTCTTCACCTGCAGTGAGTGTGCACAGATGTATCCACAATGTGTGCATTCATCCTGCTTCCTAGAGCACACACTATCCCACCCACCCACATGCATCATTTGCTGTTTCTATCCTGTACAGACCCTCCAATATCTGCAGACTTGTATCTGTACCCATTTATCCATGTGTCAGGTAAACTCCTCTCTGTCTTCCCTGCTCTCCAATTACTTTGCAATGCCCTTTCCAGCCCAGTGCTTCTATGACATTCTGCAGAACACAATAAAATAGTCACATTTTCTCTCTTTCATATGCTTTTTCCTCCTTTTATTATTATTTCTTTTTCCTTCTGCAACCATCCCATTTTGTACGTGCCTGGAAGCAGAAAATGCTTCAGACATGAACTTCAAGGTGCCTAGTTAAAAGTACTCAGAGTGTTTGGGGAGAGCAACAAAACTCGGGACAATGGGAGCTCTGACATCAGGAGCTATTTATACCTCCTCTTTTCAGAAACCTCCCTGGGATGGTGTTTTTCCTAGTTTTCTGCTAAATGCTGCAGCCTCTGGAGCCATCCCCATCCTCCTCAAAGGGCACAGTTTATCTTTAAGGCGTAGCCAGGCAGTATCACTGGGGCCAGGCATCCGCAGGCGGCTCTGACTGGGTGGAATGGAGCTGGGCTGTGCCAGGGCTGGCAGAGAGGCTGCTGGATGGGGGCAAGGACCTGTGAAGGCATTTTGACCTTGAACAATGCCTTTTAAAAGCTCAAAAGCATTACAAAGAGGTTTTAAGTGGGTGAAGTTTTGGTGGTGTGATTATTCTAGCAGGGCATTGTGGCTTCCCAGGGTTGGGCTGAATGTTGGCCATGTGTGTACACAGGGAGAGATGCTTTCTTCTAAGCTGGAGGTTTCAGCTGGCACCACATGCAGAGGTAGAATAAATCACCTTGAAGTCTGAACTACAGCAGGGTACAGAGTAAGGGATTCTCCATCCTGCAGTGCTGGGACTAGTACCAGTGTCCCCAAGCTTCAGGATGAGTGTAGAGAAGATACTGTGGAGTTAGACCTGAAGGGCTCTGGGAATTCAAAGTGTTTCAGCCTCAGACCCCAGCAGACAGACAGCTGTTATTCTGGGGATCCACTGGCATGATCAGGAGCAGTCAGGAAGGTTCCTGGTCAGGCTGAAGACAGCCTGCAGAGGGGAGACTGCCCAGGTGGCAACACCCTGCAAGGATTTTACAGGATTCTATTATTTTCATCCGGATATTGCTGTTTTGCTTGTGGGTATTCCTCATGCAAGTGAATAAAGCAGCAATTTGCTTGCAAGAGGATAACTCATATGAATATTAAACCTATGAGAAGGTTGGAAGTGGTCTGTGTTGTTGATATTGTAGTAGTTCGTTCTTAGTGAGCTATGGTATGGGCATGTGGAAGAGTTTCAGTACACAGCAGCAGTGTAGGGGTACCCTGTGTGTGATCTGCAATGTTAAAAATGGGGTTACGTTTGTGTTTCTTTAGGCAGTTTGGTCCTCCATCACTGGGGATCCCCTCTGTATGAGGCATTGTGCAGACACACCCCATCCCCACCCCAAAAGCAGCAGCCAGGGAGGAACCATCACCACTCAATTCTCAGGGAGGTGAAGGGACTTGCCCAGGGCCATGCAGAGAGTCAGTGGCAGAGCTGAGAGGATCCACCCTCATTTCCCAGTCCCTGGGCTCCTTGCACACACTCCCCTGATGCTCAGCACGACACGGCCGAGCTGCTGGCCAGATTTCCCCAAGTCTTTAGCACACGTGTTCATGCTTTCTGTTCTCATGACAGGCTTTCAGGGGAGCCCTGATGAGCTCATACTGGTGCTCGGGGAAAGGAGATGTTATCGAAGACTGGTGCAGGTGTGACCTCAACGCCTTCGATGAGAACGGACTCCCAGACTGCAGCCCTCTTCCTCCTCCCATGTACGTATGGGTGCAAGTCCCTCCCTCGGGTCATGGCCCCTCAGCACCAACCCCTCTCCCTCAGGCTCAGCCCACAGGCACCTCCTGCTCCTCTCCTCTGAGCCCCAGGGCCACAGTCCAGTGCTCCTCACTGTGTGACTGATGCTTTTAGGATATCCTGGCTCCGGCTGTGGCCCTGGAAGGTTTCCTTATAGATTTTCATCACCTGATTAGCAGGGCTTGTAGGATGGGATTTCAAATGCTGAAAGAAATGAAATTACAGTGCAATTCATTGCAGCTTGTCAGGGCAAGAGCAAATCAGGAGCAAACTGATGGGAAATTAGCTGAGAAAGCAGGAAGACTGGCTCCAGTGATCCACAAGGAGCAGAACACCTTCTCAGCCAATATCCTCGGAGGGGATTCATTTCCCATCCTGTGTTCAACAAACACGCTCGTATGTTTGGAGCCAGTCTCTCCACAGCCTTGTATTTTGTGTTGTCCTTCACCCTGGAGCACAGAGCAGTGGACACCTTTGTGCTAGCACAGCCAAAAGCATGAAGCTGCTCTGCCTTTAGCCCAGCCTATGAGGTCCCTGATCTAGGCAGGAGCTTCTGCACAGCTGCCCTGCTTTGGCTTATGCTCACACCCAACAGAGGTTTACTCACTTACAGCTGGGTAAATTCCCAGCCACGTCTGCCCCTTTTCTCCCTCCCACCCCCCTTGCTTTTGCTCACTGACAGAGCAGACTGGACCCTCTTCTGCAGGCTCAACCCTGCTGGGTTTTACAAAGGTTAAGTGGAATCCTTCCCTTCTCTTTTGCTCCTGGGCAGCTGGTCTTCAGTTTCCCACAGGGCTTCTGAAGGCCAGTAGTTCTCCCAGGAGGTGAAGGTTCCTTTAGATGGGATATTTGGGGTTGCGTGGTTGCAGCTGCATGACCTAGGCTCTTGCAGAAGCAGGGGAAGGGAAGGACACGTTGCATAGGCTGCATCCAAATGAACTTAAACTGGAAGTTCTTCTGTGCTCTTCTGCCTTGTGCCCTTCCCCTTGTGCCCCAGTCCTTGTGGGTTTGTGGATGAGCATGAGCCCTGCCAGGGTTTATGCCATTTGTAAAAGTGGATTCCTCCCCAGAAAGGGAGCTGATGTCTTACTTGGTTTCTTTCCTCTCTCCTGCCCAGCCTCAGGCTCTCCCCCAACGTGGAGCCCTCCAGCACTGTGGTGTCTCTGGAGTGGCTGGATGTGCAACCTGCCATTGGGACAAAGGTGTCTGACTACGTCCTGCAGCACAAGAAGGTGGATGAGTACACAGACACAGACCTCTACACAGGTGGGTGCAGCTGTGAGACCAAGCTCCTCTTGGTGCAGAGGGTGTATGGCCATGTGTCCTGCATCCCATCTGGCTGGGAGCTGCTGCTTTTGTGGAGAAGGATGCATAGAGCCACAGTGTTAACATGAGGTATTAAACCCACTCGATTCAGGAGATGGTTCTGAAGTTGCCTGCAGACACAAGTGTTTGAGGGAAAAAGAAAACACAAAATGCAGTGTGGCAGTAGGAAATTATCTGACCCTTTTTGGGTAGGAGAGCTCTAAGTTGAAATTTCTGACTCAAGTGGTTGTTTGATCTGATCACTCTGAAATGATTCAGGATGGTGGATGTGGGAGGAAGGTCAGTTCTAAACGACTTAAGGGTTTATTGTCCATTTCAGTTAATATTGCATGGCATGCCAGCTTCTGAAAAGACTCTTTAAGTTGTCTTGCACTTTTATTTAAATCACTTGAAACCTGCAATATTTGGAGGGATCATTTAAGCAGCACAAAATATCTCCAGGGGAATGTGAAACTTCCCTGGGTTGGAGTTTCTTTCTGCTTGGAATGAGCACTCTGTGCCTTGCAAGGGCTTTGTCCGTAATTCAAGCTATGCTCTAGGAGCTGCTGGGCAAGGAGGAGGAGTGTGAAGGATGGGTTTTGATTTGGGTGAATCAAGGATGTATTTCAGAAAACAGCACTTGAGACCTTGGGTGATGCTATTGCTGCATGGAAAGCCAATCAAAGCCTCCTACTGCTTTTTACTTAGTAATTTTGGATGTACTTTGTTAAAGAAGCTCAGGTGACATGTCAGTGTTGTTGACCAAAGCAGAGATTTACCTTTATATGAAGGGTCCTTTCCCATTAGAGGAGCAAGGCTCTGCAACAGTGCTTTTGGGTGACTAAAAACTTCACTTGCTTTAAAGTGGAGCCTGGTCAGCTCCTGTAAGGCTTGCATGGCTGGGCTCCCTGCAGGGGCAAAGGACCAGACTGAAGGTGGGGACAGGGCTGACATTGGAGGGGGAGCCTTGCTGTGCTCCTGCCAATTTGCAGACATCCTGGCAAGACATTTGTCTGTATTTCTCTGTTGGGGAGGTGATCTTGGGAAGATCATCCAGAGCCAGACTGGGAACTGCACGTGGGCAGCCCCTAGGTCCTACTCAGAAGCTTTCTCAGCTTGTGCTGGTGGCTTTTTTCTTCTTCCTAATTTTGTAAGAACCTCTGAGCCAAGTTCTCTGCTGCCATGAGCTGCCACAGAGCAAACTGCTCCAGCTCACAGCCACAGGGATATTTTCACCCTTTCTGTTCATCTCAGGCTCATCTATTCCACTTCTGCAGCCCCTCTTACTGAAGTATCAGGGTTTTTTTCTGCTAGAGGAGTTGGCCTTTTCCTTCTGGAGAGAGCCAGAGCCCCACATCCTGGGAGGCCCCAACTGTTTGTGGAGACCCCAGCAAGAGGGATCTCTGGTTCCTGGCTCATACATCAGTCCTGTCCCACAGGACTTTCCTCCTACACCCTGCCAGCATCCATTTCCATAGCTGCCCAACGTGGCCATGGCCCCTGGGTTATGTTTCTAGTTTCCCAGCATGGAAGAAGGCTTGTTCTTTATCTTGGAGGGGCACCCTCCAGTAACAGAGAAAGAAAAGCCACCAAAGGAGGGGCTTTGTTTTGGATGGGGATTCCAGATTGCTCACACATCGGTCAGGTGAGGCCAGACCAGGGAAATGTGGGGTTTCTCCTTTGAAGTGGCTGGATCTTTGCCTGGCAGCCAGAGTAGGAAATACAGATTATTATTATTATTTTCCTTTTATGACTGCCATGTGTTTGACAGGCAATTGAATTCATTGTGGGGAACTGCCCTCCCCTCTCCCTGCTCAGAGGGACCTCTTGGGACAGAATGACCCCATTACAATTAAAGACAAAAGCCAATCCTAAATCTCTCCTTTTTTTCCCCCTTCACGTTGTTTATAACGAAACAACATTCCTGCCTTCATTCCTTTCTTACCTAACAGGCCCCAAATGCCAGATGGCTTGATGCTTGCAAATACCTTGCATAGGTTTGCAGAAATGCTGATTGCTACAGATCTTAAAGGCTTTGCTTAGTATTGTGCTTCACCCAACCAAAAATCCTACCATGAGTAGCCCCTCACCACCATCACCCACACACCGTGGTGCAGCACTTCTCCATCACACCTGAGCAGCAGTCACACACAAAAGTAAACCCCAGAAGGATGAAGCCCTGGAAGGGGCATTGCATTTGGATGGCTTTTGATGAATATTGGCAGGTCTTGCCCATCAGTCTTGTGGCTGGTGGCAGAAAGGAGCAGGTCTGCACTGAAGGTATCTGCAGAGTGTGGCAGTGCTGGGCTGGGAGGATCCTGCAAGGCTTGAGGGCTCTTGAGGTTGCTGTCATTTGTCCTTTGGATCTCTTGAGTTCAAGTGTCTGGGTTATTTGTGCTTGTGCAGGGCTTTTTGTTCGTTTAATTGCAGTTGTAGCCATTTCTTTTTTGAGTTCCTGGCACCAGCTGTGGCAAGGGCTGTGCCAATCTGCTCTTCAGCCCTGTGGCAAGGCAGATGGTACCTGGCTGCTGCCTACCCTGCCTCTGCCTCCCTCCTGTGCCTCCAAAGCCTTTAGTCTCTCTCCCTTGCAGAACTCCTTGGTCTCCCCTTTGGTTTGGAACTGGGAGGTGAAGCCTTTCCTTTGAGCCAGAAACTATTTGTTCCTCCTCTTCTGGGAGCTGAGTCAGGAGGGAATTTGAAGGTTAGTCTAACGTGTACCCCCTCTGCTCCCCACCGGGGTCTGTGCGTGGCAGCGATGCTGCGGGATGGGTGGAAACAGCCAGAAACTCACATGGGTCAGTCCCCCCCTGGCTGTACATGCTTTTTAAAGAAGGTTATTACTGGTGTTTGAAAAAAAATATAACACTTGGACCATCCTAGGCTAATAGGAGGTGAACTTGTGTGCAAAACAAACCACACTTTCAACACCAGCGCACGGGGAGCGAGCGGCTCTTCGCTCGGGAGCCAGCTGAGAAGATGGAGAGCAGTTACACCTCAAACTGTTTATTAAAACTTGTGGAAGTTACTCATAACTCCATGTGTGCGATGGCTTTGTAGTTGAGTGATGCTCTTTGTCTGAACACGGGGCTCTCGAAGAGGGCGTGAGCGTGTGTGTGTGTGTGTGCGCGGCCGAGCCCGCCAGCGCATGATGTCATGGCCGAGGCAGGCGCTGCACTTGAGAGAGGGAGAGGGAGAAATGTGTTTTACAGGGTGAGGTACAAACTGAAATGGCTGTGAACATCTGGAACTGATATTAGGCTTGGAAAATGTTTTCTGTCACTCCAACACTCCTCTGGAGGAAGGTTTCTGAAGTTAAGAAGCTCCAAAGGGAATGAGGGGGAGGGACAAGGGGATAACATGATCATGGTGTAAAGTGCTTTTTATGTCTCAGTTCTGGTTGTTGTAGCCAGGCCACGTCCCTGCCATTGCCAGACAGGGACCTGGGGTATTGCTGTGGCCAATTGTGGTGGCCCTGGCTTAGAAGGTCCCTTGGACGAGCTGAGCCCAATACCTGAGGTGGTCCTGCATGGGGAGCACTGTATCTTCCAGGCCATGAAGGACAGAAAGATCCTTGCCCTCTTTTTATGACTGGGAGCTGAAAGACCAAGAGTGAAATCCCTGGGTTGGGGCAAGCAGCCCTGTGCCTGGTTTAAAATCACCTGGACCATCTTTGGTGCCCACATGGCAGGTTGGAGCTACCTGGGCGCCAGTACAAGTTGGGGTGGCTGATGTGAGCGTGCAAGATGCAAAGTTTAAAACTAAAACTACGCTTTGGATGTGCTTGTAACAGCACATGGGAGGCCTGGGAATGGCTGAAGGACAAGAGGCCTGGTTTTCACTGTGTGGTGGACGGGGGTCCGTGGGCTAAGCACTGAATGGTGCTGCACCTCCTAGTCACTCCTCCCCACCAAGGTGGTCAGGCCAGTATCCATGCAAAACACATGCATTAGTTGTGCTGCTTGAGCCTGGAGCCACTTCCTCTTGCTTGTGCTCCAGTATCAAAGTGGGTAGAACTGGGAAGATGCAGAGAAATGAAGCATCACTTGCTGTCACCATGGTTGAGGGTGACAGTGAGTGGGAATGTGACTGCTGCTTTCTCTGTGTTGCTGCTAGCAGATCACAAAAGGTGGATTATGAGTCTCTACTGTTCTCCCAGCCCATCATCTTCTGTCCTGTTCTGTGTAGGCTCTTATGCTGTGGTTTCTCTATCTTTTTCTGTGGCACCACTTCTGCAGCTGAATTAATGTGCTTGGGGATATTGCGGGGTGTTAGCTGGAAAAAAGTATACAACAAAGAACACCACCCATTTCCTTTAATGCAGCAGTGCTGCTGTTGGCCACAAGGAACTATGTCCCAGAAGGACAAGTGAGGTCTAAGAAGAGACTCCCAAGCACTTTCACTTCTCACGGCATCCAGGGATCCTGGCAGCTCCTGTGTCTCTTTGGCTGGTCAGGGATCACGCTCATAAGAGGTCGCCCTCATCCAGAACAGCTTGTAATTCTCAAAGAAAGGAGAGCAGAAACACAGCCTGCTGAATCAGCTTGTTGGGATCACGTAGACCTCAGAGAATCAGATTCTGGCAGCTTGGTCAGAGTCTTCTGGTATACCAGGGTCTTCTATAGACAGGGCTGTGTGGAGAAGAGCTGCAGGGAAGCTGAGGAGGGCACCTGGAGAATAGACTGGGCAGAACAATGTGCAGAAGTTGAGGGGATGCTCATGTAAAACCTCTGCACGTCACTGCACCAGCGTTCCAGGCTTCTCTGGAGAGTGCTGTTCTGCAGGGGAGTCTCTGAATACACGTTGTGTCTATAAAAGAAAGAGGTCAAACCAGAAGGCTTAACATTTTGTACACTTGCAAGTTGTGCTCCAAATTGAGGCTTGGAAGGATCTTATTTATAGCTTAACTCTGCTCTGTAGAGCATCGTTCTGACATGTCTGGGTGGCCGGGGCTACATGGATAC